AAGGGCCACTAGCAACTTAACTGTATTTTAGTCTGAATTTTTATTTTACATACTATTGTTGCAAGTTAATACCTACTGTACTGTGAAGGAGATTAAATAAAATACTTCAGCTTTTATTTTGTCTGTAGTCACTTTCACTGTGATTACTATATAGTGAGCTTCCATTTCGTTTATGGGTCCTTTCAAACAGCAGCACAGAGTAAAACATTTTTATAAATTAGCAAAAGAGCACGCTCTACTTTTTAACTTCCTCCTTAAAAAGGACTGGAATTCATGTTGATGCTGTTCCTTTAACAGTGATGCTTAAACTTTTTTTTCTGACCTAACCATATTATAAACCACTGTTCAGGAGGCAGAAAGGGGAAAGAGAAAAGTTTAGTCTTAGATAGATTTAGCCTATAGGAATTGTCTATTTATAATATGGTTAGACTCAAATGCGTCAAGTGGTTAAGCAGCCAGAATTCTTATCCTAAAGCATTTACACTGGTCAAAGATTTAAATACCAGGCACGATTAGATGTGGCCTTAATGAATGCACTGTTCAGATCCATTGCCATATCAGTTTTGTTCTTTCCTGCCCTTTGCCCCCAGCCCTGCCCTAAAGCAGGTATCCGTACATAAAGGGAGTAGCTTAAGTATCTGTAGACTGTTACACAAGTAAATGATCTACCACAAACAATTGCGAAGCTGCAAGCAACGAAGCAAAATCAGGTGGAAAAACCCACTTCGTTTTTCTTTGTATATACAAAGAGGAATCACATACTGACAAATGGACCCACAAATGCAACACCTCTTCAGTGGGAAAAACGTTCTTCTCCCTGGATTAGGTAACACACCTAGGACCATGAGTGACCTACACATATAAAACTTTTAAATTTTCAGGTTTCTTCAGACAGCTTAAAACAATACTTTAAATAAATTTTCCAAATTCAAAACTGTATTGATAATTATCCACAACAGTGTGCAAGGTAAAAACCTGGCCTCAAAATAAATAAAAACAAAACAAAAACAAATACAACTGACTTTAAAAAGCAACAGAAATACAAACAGGGATTCTTCAGTCTTTGTAGGATGAGAGCACTGAAAGGGCCATTGCTGGAAAGGCTGCGGGAACCTCTAATCCAGTCCGTGCTCTCAGTTCCAGTCATTAGCTTGGTTTTTTGCAGAATTCACACTGTATTCCTCCACTGAGGTCTTTCACAACCCCTTCTTCTATCAGTTTTTGTAGGAATTTTGTTTCAGTTGTCACATTATGCATAGTTTGTCCATTCATTTCAGCCATGCAGACACTGTCATAGTAATGCAAAGGTGTGTTGGGTTGACTGAGGTCATATCCAAATCCTGCTAAACTCACTTCATCACATAAATGTGTGGCCAGAACAACAGCAGTGACCCCGATTGTGGGGACATTCTAAAAAGAAAAACAAATATTTACAATATAACATCTCCCTCCTTTATTAGTTTTTACAGAATCTGAAATGTAGGAGCGGAAGAGAGCTCCAGAAGTCACTCTGAGGCAAGACAAAAAACAATTAGACCACCTCTGTCATGTTTGACTAATCTCATCTTAGAAACCACCCATGACAGGGGTACTAAAACCTCCCTTGGAATCCTCTACAAGTATTTACTCATCCTTAGTTAGGAAAAAAAAATCTAAAAGCTAGCATAAATCTCCCTTGCTGCAGTTTAAGTAAATTACTTTGTGTGCACATGGAAAACAACTGATCGCTGTCCTCTTTATAACAGCTCTTTATACTGCACTTGAAGACTTCTCTCAGGATGAAGAATGCCCTTAAAAAAACAAACAAAACAAACAAAAAAACCACACCCTTCTCCTCAAATCAGATTTTCCAAATATTTTATTGTTTTTCTTGCTCCATTTTTATCTACCTCTTTCTTACAGTACAGTGACAGAAATGGAACATAGCACTTGAGTTCTCACCAGTGCTAAATAGAGTAGAACAATTACCTTCCATGTCCCAACATACTATGATCCTATTAAGATAACCCAGACCAATATAGCCGTTAGCATAGCATCACATTTGTAACAGACTGTTGAGTCATATTCAACTTGTGATGTACCTTATCCTCAGAGCTTTTTTATGCAACACCACCACCTAACCAGTTATTTTCTATTTTGTAGTTGTGCCTGTCTTTTTTTTTTCATCCTAGGAATGGTAATTTGCAGTTGTTTATTGACCACTTTGGCATCATCCACGAGTTTTAGAGTATGTTCTCCACTCCATTATCCAAGTCTTCATAATGAATGAAGCAAGAATGCCCAAGGGGGCTTATAAATAGTATGTGCTGAAAAGCCATGGATGGACTGAAGTCTAAGGTGAATAGTAATAGGTAATAAGCTTGCAGCTGCAGCTTTGTTCATTAGCACACTTGTAGCACATGGTTTCCTTACAATAGATACAGGGATTGGCTCACAAAATTAGTATGCTAATTGTAAAGTACGTGTTTCAATGTAGAACGTAATGCACATGTGTCAGTTAGGGATGTGACAGGTGATATGTTTGCCCTTCTCTAGTTCTGAGATCTCATCCATCCTCAATGACTTCTCAAAGACAATCATTAACAATTCCAAAATTACTGTAGGTAGTGTCTTAGGAAGCATACAGTGAATTGCATTAGACTCTGACAAGTTGTTACCCAACAGCTTAAAACATGACTTTAAATGAATCGCCCAAATTCAAAACTGTATTGACTATTAATGGGGAGCAGGTTTAAAACTAATAAAAGAAAGTTCTTCTTCACACAGCATGTAGTCAACCTGTGGAACTCCTTGCCAGAGGAGGCTGTGAAGGCTAGGACTATAATAGAGTTTAAAGAGAAGCTAGATAATTTCATGGAGGTTAGGTCCATAAAAGGCTATTAGCCAGGGGATAAAATGGTGTCCTTGGCCTCTGTCTGTCAGAGGCTGGAGAGAGATGGCAGGAGACAAATCGCTTGATCATTGTCTTCGGTCCACCCTCTCTGGGGCACCTAATGCTGGCCACTGTCGGTAGACAGGATACTGGGCTAGATGGACCTTTGGTCTGACCCAGTACGGCCATTCTTATGTTATGTTCTTACTATCCACAGAAGTGTGCAAGGTAAAAAACTTGCCTCAAAATAAATTTTAAAATATAATGAATATACCTGCCATTAATAAGTAACAAATACAAACAGGAACCATACTGTGTTTTTACTATTCTTCCTATCTTTCATTCCCATCTGGATAGTTTGTTGTTGCAACTTTAAACTGCCAGGTATCTTGAACTATTTTTTCCTTCTATTTTCTTACCATGGGACCTTCCCTACTAGTTCTCAGAGTTGGTCAAGTCTGATGACGTACTTCAAAGAAGCATTCTACCATTCTCACTCCTTCCTTTCCTTAAAAGGAAACTGGCGTTCTTCAAGATGTGTTGTTCACATCCATTCTAGTCAGGTGTACGCATGCATGAGTGTCAGAAACTTCTCCCCTAGCAGCTCTTGTAGGGTCAGCCATGAAGACCTCTAGAGTGGCACCACTATATCAGCACATATATACCACAACTGACCCTATCCTCCCTCAGTTCCTTCTTGCTAACTATTCCAACAGTGGGGAAGGAGGGTGGTCCCATACGTTTATTATGTACCAGGTTCATATCCCAAGCAGGTAGAGGTGGACAACAATATCGATATAACTGTCCAAGCCCTTCCTAAAACAAGTCACCATGAGGCGGCCAAACAAAGAACACTGGGAGCAACCCAGGTGGAAGACAGAGCACAGATCTGGTTGTCTGAGACGTCCCTTATGCTGCATCAGGAGGTCCGGGTACAAGGGAAGGGTTATCGGGGCCTCCACTGACAACTTGAGCAGGATGGAGAACCAATATTGGCACAGCCATGCCGGTGCCAACAGGATTATATGGGCCTGTCCCTACGGACTTTTAGTAGGACCCAACATACTAGCAGAATCAGGGGAAATGCATACAGGAGAGTCCCTCTCTCCAAGTGGATAGCAAATGAGTCTCCCATGTAACCTGACAGTGATTCTGGAATGAGCTAAAGTCTATACACATTTTGTTCTCTGGAGTGGCCAACAGATCTAGATGGGGAGTCCCCCACCTGTGGAAGACTGACTGTATCACATATTCCCTGACTGACCACTTGCGGACAATAAAGGACCTGCTGAGGACATCTGCCAGTGTATGCTGTAGCCCAGGTAGATAATGGGCTTCCAAGTGGATTTTCTGCTTTATGCAATAATGCCAGAGTCTCTGCACCTTGCTGAAGAGTCAAGATGACTGCATGCCCCTCTGCTTGTTTATGTAGAACCGTGGTCACCAACCCGTCGATCACGATCGACTGGTCGATCGCGAGGCCTCAAGCAGTCGATCGCGAGGCGTTTGGGCAACCCTGACCCCCATTTTCCCCCCCACCCCCGAGAAGCCCCACTACCTATCTCTAGTGTAGTGCCGGCTTCCCACGGGGTGGACAGAAATCCTCTCTGAAGTCCGTGTCACTTCCGGAGGTTCCGGAAGTGCGCGGGCTGCTCCCTCTCCCACAGCTCTGTTGCGTGCTGGAGGATGGGGCGTTGGCCCTAGAGGAGGAGTGCGGAGGCTTCTCTGTGCCGCCGGCGCTGGAGGGGTGAGTTGGGCGGAGGGGTTTCCCATCCCCACTCCCCAAACTCTGTCCCCACTGGCACCCTGTCCCCTGCTGCAGACCCCTGTCCTCTGCCCACCCAGCACCCTGTTCCCTCTGCCCTGCCCCCAGCCTCAGAACTCTGTCCCCACAAAATGTATAATTATAAATGCTTCATTTTAGATTTAAATAGCATGAATAAAAAACAGACCATTTATTTCATAACTATAAACACATGATTTTAATTTTATATATCGCATAATTTAAAAATAAAGTGTTTATCAGAGTGTGTAAGGAAGGGCTGGGGATAGCAAGTGATGGACAGGAGGAGAATAGAGAGGGCGAGGCTTCAAGGAAGGGGCGGGGGGGTAGATCTCTGCCCGTTCTGCGATTTAAAAAGTGATCTTTGGTGTAAAAAGGTTGGAGACCACCGATGTAGAACATCGCTGTCATATTGTCCATACACACATTTGACCCTGCATCTGGGATTGGAATATCCGGCAGGCCAGTCTGATTGCTCTTAGTTCTTTTACACTCATGTGAAGTCTCGTGTCCACGGGCAACCACAGTCCTTCAATTCTCAAGTCAACAGGGTGGGTTCCCCCACCCCAGGTCTGGGGCATCAGTCATCAATGTTAGGGTGGGATCAAGGGGGCAAACTGCACCCCTTATGACAGGTTTAGACGGTCTAACCACCACCTGAGAGATTATCACTTGGTAGGGAACAGACACCACCATGTCCAGACTGTAGATACAGGTACACAGACTGAAGAGAGCCAGCCCCGAAGGGATCTGAGGAGTAGACATGCATATCTGATCATGTGACAACTCGACACCATGTGGCGTAGAAGTTTGAGACATGCCCTTGCCATTGTGACCAGGTACTGGGTGAGGGTGCATATCAGATCCCAAATGGCCTGGGCCTGAGACTATGGCAAAGATGTTTTCCCTTCACACTGAGTCTAGGATTGCCCCAATAAATTCTATTCTCTGCACCCGACTCAGGACTGACTTCTCCCTGTTGAAGAGGATGGCCAGAGTTCTGGAGAGCTCTAACAGGAAGTCTACATGTGTGTGAACCTGGTCTCCGGAGGTCGTTTTCAGCAACCAATCGTCCAGGTATAGGAAAACCTGGACCCCCACCCTTGCACAGGAAGGCCGCTGCCACTGCTGTACATTTAGTAAACACTCATGGGATAGAACAAAGGTCAAACGGTAGCACCACAAACTGGTAGTGCCTCTGCTACTGTAAATCTGAGGTAATGCCTGTGACATAGAAGGATTGACATGTGGAAATATGCATCCTTCATGTCATGGGCTTATTGTGACTAGCATGACCATCCTGAACTTTAGCTTCCGCGTGTAGCAGCTGAGATTCGTTAAGACTAGGATTGGTGTGAGACCACCTTTTGCCTTTGGTATGAGGACGTAACAGGAATGGAAACCCCTACCCCCGACTTCCACGGGGATCTCTTGTATCATACCTGCATCAAGGAGTGATCAGACTTCCTGTTTCAGGAGATGCTCGTGAGAGGCAACTCTCTGAAGAGGGATGGGGGAAGGGGAATGGTGATGCTGCGTGAATGCAAACTGCAGGGAGTACCCCACTCCAACTGTGCTAAACGGGTTGGTCTTTTTGGCCCCCTTGGCCTTGGGAGCCGGGGCCTGCCTCTCTCCCTCATTGACAGCTGAGACCATGACTGAAGAGGGATGGGGGTGAAAGTACAACTACTCATACCCTTTGGAGGGGACAAAGTACCTCCTCTCGACACCCTTGGCTGTTGGGGGAACGGAGGTCAGGATCATCCATAGGTTTGTATAATTTGACTGTCAACTTTTTGACAGAGCTACACTAGAGGGTTCATCCTGTGACAATGTCAACCATGGGGTCCTTTGGTTCCTGTATCTCCTCTAAGAGGAAATTCATGTTTTGGGCAACCTGGCGCAGTAGTTCCAGATATGCCTTATGGCAGCGGTCTCCAACCTCTACCTCAAACCCAAATCCCTTTGCCCCGCCTCCTTTGTGCACCTTTTCCAAGGCACCATCCCTGCTCACTCTATCCTCCCTCTCTTGCCCATCTGCACTCACTTTCATTAGGCTGGGGCAGAGGGTTGGAATGCAGGCTCTGGTATTGGATTATGGGATCTGGAGTGTGGGAGGGGCTCTGAGCTGCTCTTGGGGTGGCCAGTTGGGATGTAGGAAAGGGTTCGAGGTGCAGGCTCTGGGAGGGTGTTTGGGTGCAGAGGTGCTCAGGGCTGGGGTAGAGGCTTAGGGTGCGGGGGTGGGGGGTCATGACTGGGGTAGGGCTTCAGGATGTGGGCTCTGACTGGGCACTGCTTACCTCAGGTGGCTCCTGGCTAGTGGGACTATCTCACCCCTGTGCTGGCCCTGGACCACTCCTAAAGCAGCTAAAAACTGCATCCCAAGTCCTGTTGTGCCCCCTCTCTGCTTTGTGGAGAAAGGATACAGAGTGAGAGGGGGCATCTTGACATCAGCACTCCTCTTCTAGCTCTCCTGCCCTGCACAGCAAGCAGGAGGCTTCCCAGGGGGAGGGGCAGCTCCAAGGCAAAAGGCAGGAGATGAGCAGCAGTGGAGGGGAGAGGCAGCTGAAGTGCTGGCACTTGATAGCCTCATGGCAAAACCAGTCAGGATCACCTGACAGAGGCTCCAAGATCTACCAGTAGATCCCGGTCTACCGGTTAGTGACCACTGCCCTACGGTCAACTTGCAGGAGACCAGACATGGAAGTGCCTGTCCCAGCCTCGTCCAGAGAGGACAACAAATGTGTGCAGGCAGGGTATTGTCAGCTGGCTGGGCCCAGGGTCCCTTTTCTGGTTCCACTGTATGTCCTTGCCCAGCTGGCCTCAGGGGCGGGGGGTAGGCTGTCACCTCTCAGTGGTTAGGATTCCATTGATGATGGTGCCCTCAAATGGCGCCTGTCCGAAGGGGATTGGGACATGTGCCACAGGCCCACCATCAATGTGGGTGCACCCTGAGACTGATGGTATGCCCAGGACATCCAGAAAGGCCACTGCATAGGCAGTAGCCACCGTTGTTGCAACTGCACCTGAGGGGCCTGGTGGCATGACCGCAGCAGCTGTGTTTAGAGCAAGTCGACACAACATCCAATTCCATGTGGGACAACCATGGCGGAGTCAACGATTTCGATGCTGGGAGCCAAGACCCTCTAGGGGATCTTGAATGGTACTGAGAGGGTCTGGAATGGGAACAGCATGTGGTGTTCCTGGACCTCAACCTGGAGATCGATCTCAGCGCCAATATAGTGCTCAGGGCCAAGCCCTCCATCTGTGCCAGTGGTAGGGCATGCTGCCCTGGTGAAAGTGGACCTTCCTAGGAGGATGACCTGTCCTGGGACCATTCTGTGGACGGTGGTCAATGCAGCATCTCCAGTTTCCCCCCTCAAGAGGTGTAGTTCCGACAGTGCCAGAGGTTTTTCCCACACTCTGGATGCCTTGGCCTCCAAAATCTCTGTAAGGTCTCTGGCCGCAATTCAACACCTGCACTGGACTTAAGTCTCTCCATGATGGGTCACATGCCAGATATGACAGCACTGGTCCCTGGCTAGAGTCAATGACACACCTTGGACCTCTTGCGCTGGGGACTTCCACTGTACTTGATTCCATCTCTCCTGGGACTTATTAGGGGATCTGCCCCAGCCCCCCTTCTGCCTCACAGTGCCAGCAAGGTGGACCTGTGTCTTGACCCTGCAGTTTTCAGTGCCGGAGAACCCTGGTACCAAGAGTCTTAGCGCTTACCAGGAGTCTTAGAGGGGGTTTTAGCGCTGCTTTCATGAGGAGCTGGTGGAGTCTATACTCCCGGTCCTTTCTGGTAAGGGGCTTAAAGCTTCCACAAATCTTACACTTCTCAGGGAGCTGTTCTTCACCCAGACAGCAGATATACACGTCGTGTGGATCGCTTTTGGGCATAAGGCATTTACAGACTGCATTAAAACTTGGAGCGTTAGGTATGTCCCAGCACCCCAAAGAAGCTAAAGATCTTGGGCACTTGCCACCTATCTGTTGACTCTGAAGACTCTACTTTTACGCTAATGAAGATGACAACAAAGAGCTATAAGGTAGGGACTAGACACTTGCCAGAGCAAGAGCTAGGAAGTTCCAACAGTCACAGATGGTAAGAAGGAACTGAGGGAGGGTAGGGTCAGCTGTGGTATACATGCACTGATATGGTGGCACCATTCTAGGGGTCTTCACGGCTGATGCTACGGGAGCTGCTAGGGGAACAGTTTCCGGTGCTCATGCATGCAGCACGTGTACATCTGATTGGAATCAATGTGAACAAGCACTCGAAGAAGAATCACATGTATCAGGTCATGATCATTTTCATCTAAACTGCCTTTGTAGCATTTCATCTTTTCAATATTTTACTAGAATACCATAAACTTGTGCTACTATCATGAAGAAACTATGCCCTGGTTCTGTTACATTTATTTATTGTACTTACTTTCATCACGTGACTCTACAAACTGATGTCTCTACTAGAAATAGGAACACCACTTTGAAGGCTATGTTTAAATTATATTCAAACTAAGTATTTTCAGAATCCAACATTTGCCCATTACTTTTTTTTTTCCTCTGAATTTAAGTTAGTCAAAATTCCTGCTATGCCATGGCAAAGAACTAGGGTTTATTAACATAATTAAACTCCTTTGTTCAAATATCTGGAACCCATGAACTGCTGATACGTTAAACACCACTCGTCCCCCTAAACATGACTTTGCAATCAGTGTGTAACACCATATTTGCTAGCAACAAGGTTGTGTTTTAACACAACTAGATTTCAGATAAGACTAGCCCTTGGTGGAGAAGGTAATAATTCAACTGACTGTTTCAGATTTTGAATTCGTTTGCTTCTCATCTTTGCCATGTTTATGCATTTTCCAATGACTACTTTTGCCTGACAGCATGCTGCCTGAGCCTTAGTAATTACACTGCAAAAGAGTGTTTTTTTTCTTGGGTTAACCAATCAGCATTAGTTAACTCAAGTATAATAGCAGAGAAGACACAGCAACCAGGCTTTTAACTCAAGGTAAGAACTCGAGTTCAATTCCAAGTTCCCCTATAAGCTTTAAATCAAGCTGACCATCCAAGGTAAAGCAGAATTGCCATGGCCTCACTGCTATTTTAAGGCAAGTGACCTACCCGAAGCAAAGAACTCACCTGTTTTTGCACTGTACATATATTTTTAAGTGAAATCCTCCTCAGCCAAAAAGGGGGACAAAAACAATTTAAAGAGCCTTAAGCTCTTAAAGTTTAAAGGCAGCTATGGCCTGCCACATATACATGGTTTTAAAAGGCCCTCAACCTTAATGGATTTCTCAGAAGTATTTTCCTTTTTTAAACTTTGGCGCCTTTTAAAAAAAAAAATCATACGTGGGTTACCTTACATGAACATAAACAAGCCAACCCTCTAACTAAAATGGCCCTAGATTTGTACTTTGTGACTGACGAGAATGCTGACCCCAACTATTTTATAAATATTTAATAGAGAATATTAAAAAAATACAAATAATACTTGAAAAAGATTTTGGGCAAATTCTCAGTCATTATAAAACACCAAAGAAACTACCCCAAATGAAGAGTCCAAACTGTTTTTATTTGATTATATCATAAGACTTTTAAAGAGTAAAATACATCTATCCAGGACCTTTCTCCATTCCCCACCCAAAAGATCTCTTACCTTATCCCAGCCCCAAAATTTAGATCGAGGTTCAGGGTATTGTAGTATATCCAAGGCAGTCTCTTTAACAATGATCGGATTCAAAATACGAAACTGTTTTGATGTTACAGGAATTTTCTCAGCCACCCGCTTCCAAAAAAAGAGTCGTACCCACAGTGGCTAAAAATAAAAATAAAAAAACCCAATTAAACAGGGAAAAAATACATTGGACATGGAAAACTGGTACAGGGCATAGCATGACACTCCTTGCTGGCAAATCAAAAGATTGTCCACATAACATCACATATGATTTATTGGCAAAGACTCACTAGGACATTGACGTATAATTCATAAATACCTGAATTATTTTATGTAAACAATGCTTAAGATATGAGAGAGACAAAAAGCAATTCATCATCTGTTTAGTTCAGGGGTGGGAAACCTCTGGCTGGCGGGCTAGATGTGGGTTGTCAGAGTTAGCTGCTGGCGGGCCAAACGGTCCGTTCATCTTAGCGTCCACAGGCATGGAGTCCTGCAGCGCTCAGTGGCTGTGGTTTGCCATTCCCTGCCAACAGGAGCAACGGGAGGCGGTGGCCCAGTTCAGGATCTGAAACTATTTTACTTGCATTTTCAAACGTACTGTATTTCTAGTTGACAGTGTATGTTTAAAGACAAGTGTAGTAGGCTAGAAGGAGAGAATAGCAATGAGACTCAATAATAGGATTTAATGCCAAAATGTGTCAGAAATTTAAAGTCGTCAATGGAAATGCAATGGTGCTAAACCAGTAAAAGATCAGAATAAGGCTCATTTTATGTTTCCCTCCATAAATTGTGTCATGGTGAGCAAATGAAAAAAAGGGCTTTTTCTGTACATTGGATACATTATTCCTAAAAAAAAAATCCCTTTTAAAATATTTGTTATATCTATTATTGTAGCATGACTTCTCTTCCAATCAGAACTGGGTTTTGTTCCCAGCTTTGCCACCTTAACAACCAAATCACTTAACTCCAAAAAATTAATTTATACTTTACTGAGCACATAAGAAATTGTGTCTAGCATGCATAAATGATCAAGATGAATATTGGTCTGAGCATATAATATTAAATCTACATGACATAACAGCTAGAAATACTGCAACAAAGTGATTGTTTGGAAGGTGGATAACAATTCAATATCTTTTTTAAAAGTAATTTGAAATTATGCTAAGATCTGCATTTATTAATATTTACAACTGTTTAAATATTATTTTGTTATTTAAATTATATTTGTTTGTTGCCAGGAAAGTAATACCAGTGAACTAAGTAATTAGCTGTGCTTGGCAATAATTTTTTTTTTTGGGGGGGGGGGCACATTCCAAGATTTTGGCAAGTGGTCAAGAGCCACATTTCTGCTGGGGGGGTGGGGGGCTGGGACAGAGGTTGGGTGCAGAAGGAAGCTTGGGGTAGGGGGCTGGGGTGCAGGAGGAACTGTGGGGTCTGAGAGGGAGTTTGGGTGAAGGAGGGGGTTGTGATCTGGGGAAGAGCCTTGGGGTGGAGAGTCCAGAAGGAGATATGGGTGCAGGAGAGGATTCTGGCTTGGGGGAAGGGTTGTAGGAGGTGACGCAGGGTCTGGGAGGGAGTTGTGGCCTAGATGTAAGGGGGGGGTGCAGAGGGCTTGGGTAGTGACCGGGGGCGGGAAAATAGAGTGCAGGATCAGGGAGGGAGTGTGGGTACTAGAGAGGATTCTGGGAGAGGGATGTAAGAGGGGGTACAGGGTCTGGGACAGAGTTGTGACCTGGGGGAAAGAGGTACAGAGAGTTTGGGTGGCAGCCTGGGGCAAGTAGTTGGTGGGAGGGGGAAGAGGGTTAGTGCCAGAGGCAGGCTGTGGCTATGAGGTACTTACCTAGGTGGCTCCCAGCCAGCAGCCCTGCAGGAACCTGAAAGCTGTAGTTGCAAGCTGCTCCATAAGGCTCTTCTCCGGGCAGGAGGCTTCATTGGCTGCCCATGCTGCCAGCAAAATTTCTCATCCCGTATTGGCCAGAAACTGGCCAATGGGAGCAGAGAGATTCTGCTGGAAGGTGGGACAGAGCACAAAGCATTTAAAGTGGTGGCAGCTACACTGTGATTAAGGGTCCGAGCAAGGCAGCTGTGGGCTGGATCTTGTGGCTTGGCAGGCCAGAACCAGCCCAC